GTCTATGTTGCACAGGAAGCATAGCTATGGCAAAGATGTTGTTAAATATTTCTGTTACCTCTTGGAGATCCATTTCTATAAATCAGCCTAGGCAGGTAGACAATTAAGCAAAGAGGCAGACCATATTTTAGTTCCGATACTCCATCCTTCAGTTTGCAGTCTAAATTATAGTCCTTTTGATGCTGTTTCCATTAGCTTGAGACCCACTCCCAGAAGAGAAGGGAGGGAAAACTATATGAGCATTCCTCTCCTCCCCTTTCTTTCTTTCTGAACTTTTTTTGCAGTCTGGTTGAATTCCACAGTTCTATTCCAAATGATGTTTCATATATGTGCTAAGAAAAAGGATCTTACTTGTTAGATGTCTTCTTGTATTTGTTGTAGAAAGTTATTTATTTGTAGAAATAAGCTTAGTTTCGATTCTCACAAAGTCTGGCAGACACAGCTTGGAAGCCAATATGGCAATTGCTCGGCTGGGGCATTGAGATGGACAAAAGACTCCAGAACCCAGCAGCTGCTAGAATCTGGTACTTTGTCAATTCTCCTGCTTCAGAGACCTCTCTCCTGAGGCCTCCCTAGGAAGTTTGGATAAACCAAACTCCCCCACACCATGCAATTCAAGTGGCTGCTGGAGCAGTGCTCCGTGTCAGGGTTCGATAGTCAGATCACACCACACAGCGCTTCATAAGAAGTATTCTGTTTATTGGAAGTTCCTAACTATGACAAGTGAATGTTTTTTGTCAGGAATGGCCCAAAGCAGCAGGGCACTCAAAGTTATAGTAGTTTCAAAACACCCCCCATTACAAGCAGAAGCCAATAAGCTTTGTGCATTGTGCGCACGTGCGGGAGAAAAGAGAGCGGGCAAAATAGGAACCGTTTGTTCCCAGCAGGTCAGGAGCAGCTTCCAGGATCAGAAAAGCATAAGCAGATAACATCCCAGACAGGAGACATCTTTAGTGTACCAGGCTGAGGAGAGAAGGATCACCCCCCCACACATTCCAGGGAAATGGCAGTGTTAACTGACACTTCCCAGCTCCACTCGATCATGCTGTGCTGAAACCGCTGCCTGTTAGCTTTCTTGACCATAGAAGTCATCACCTCCCACCTGCTGGCTTGTTATTAGAATTGTTGCTTAGGCTGGCAGAAGTGATTAGCTTGCAGCAGCTGAGAACTGTAATCTAAAGTGGTTGAGAGCTTGCAATTTAGAGATTTATCCTGGTAACAGCTTCCTATTGGCTAAATGGCTTTTCTTTCTTCACTGAGAACTTCAGCCCCACAAGAAAAAAATTTGCCCCACAAGCCACAAAATCCTGGCTATGGGCCTGCCCCAAAGGGCTTGGGGCTGGGGTACTGGAAGGACCACCTCCTTTCGTGCTGTCCAGTTTGCCAGCTAAGACCCTTTCCCCAAGCTCTGTTCTTTGTGGACCGCTCTGCTGAGATGAGCCAGAGCTTTTTCAGTGGTGGCACCTTGCTGTTGGAACATCCTCCTCCTTAAGACTTACCTGGCCTCCTACCTTACTATTCTGTAGGTGCCAGGCCAGAATCATTCTTTTCAAGTTGGCCTGCTTGTAACTTGAAGAGTGCTTCAGTCACTGAGTGTCATTTGAGGATTGCTTTAGTACTGATAATTCTTAGTCGTTGATGTTTTATTATTTTATTGTCTCATTTTTACTTTGTGAAAGCAGAAGTTATAAGGTTGCCAACTCCAGTTTTAGGCCTCATCAATGTTGCCAAACAACTCTCGAACAAATCAAAATGCTGTTACCCTGAGCAAGGCCCAGGAGATTACATTTTGAAAAGGGTAAAGGTCCCCTTGCTCGAAAGCCAGTCGAATCCGACTCTAGGGTCGCGATGCTCATCTCCGTTTCAAAGCCAAAGAGCCAGCGCTGTCCGAAGACATTTCCGTGGTCATGTGGCCAGCATGACTAAACACCAAGGCACACGAAACGCTGTTACCTTCCCACTGGAGTGGTACCTATTTATCTACTTGAAATTTCTTGCTTTCGAACTGCTAGGTTGGCAGGAAGGAGAAGGAGAAGGAGAAGGAGAAGGAGAAGGAGAAGGAGAAGGAGGAGAAGAAGGAGGAGAAGGAGAAGGAGGAGGAGGAGAAGGAGGAGAAGGAGGAGAAGGAGAAGAAGGAGAAGGAGAAGAAGGAGAAGAAGGAGAAGAAGGAGAAGGAGAAGAAGGAGAAGAAGGAGAAGAAGGAGAAGAAGGAGAAGAAGGAGAAGAAGGAGAAGAAGGAGAAGGAGAAGGAGAAGGAGAAGGAGAAGAAGAAGGAGGAGAAGGAGAAGGAGGAGGAGGAGAAGGAGGAGAAGGAGGAGAAGGAGAAGAAGGAGAAGGAGAAGAAGGAGAAGAAGGAGAAGAAGGAGAAGAAGGAGAAGGAGAAGGAGAAGGAGAAGGAGAAGAAGAAGAAGAAGAAGAAGAAGAAGAAGAAGAGATTGGATTTATACGCCGCCCTTCACTTGGAGTCTCAGAGCGGCTTACAAACTCCTTTCCCTTCCCCTCCCCACAACAGACACCCTGTGAGGTGGGTGGGGCTGAGAGAACTCTGAGACAAACTGCTCTTTTTCAAGGACAGCTGTGCCAGAGCTTGTGACTGACCCAAGGTCACATCAGCAGGTGCAAATGGAGGAGTGGGGAATCAAACCCGGTTCTCCCAGATTAGAGTCCGCGCACTTAACCACTACACCAAACTGGCTCTCCGTATTTCATGGCAGACCCCAAAATATGTTTATTTGTCTCAGGTATACAACTTTAGGAGAGAGGAAAACCCTCTTGAAATAGGGTTGCCAACTCGGGGTTAGGAAATTCCTGGAGATTTGGGAGCGGAATCTGGGTAGAATGGTGATTGGGGAGGGGAAAGGCTTCATAAGGTATAATGCCATAGAATTCACCTTCCAAAGCAGCCATTTTCTCCAAAGGAACTGCTCTTTGTGGTCTGGAAATCAGTTGTAATCCTGTGAGATCTCAAGGCCCTATTAGGAAGTTGGCCATTTCACCTCATTCTGTTGCATGATAGACCAGCCCGGGGGGGGGAAGCAATAATGCAGGGAAGTGGATTCCCTTGGAATAGGGTTGCCAACCTCCAGGCAGAGGCTGGAGGTCTCCTGATTATACCTGGTCTCCAGGTGACAGAGACCAGTTTACCTGGAGAAAAGGGCCACTTTGGAGGGTGGACTGCATGGTATTATACCCCACTGGAGTTTCTTCCCTCCCCAAATCCTGCTCTCCTCAGGCTCCATCCTCCAAATCTCCAGGTATTTCCCAACTCTGAGCTGGTATTGCCTGGCAATTCTACCTTGGAAAGCACCTAGAGATCACAACCAAAAGGACTGATGCTGTCTGCTCCCCAGTCAGTTCCAAGCAAGACTTGGCAATGTTTATAGCCCGGTCAGCTAAGAACAGGGGGAACGACTGGGTGGAGCCTGTGGGCCCAGTGCAGGCAGCTCAGCCTTTCTTCTGCAGCAGTGAGGGGTAGCTGAACATGGGCCAGGAAGCCACAGCTTCTATCCATGGTCATATCTGAAGCTTTTGGAAGTGGCTGGCTAGATGAAGTTGGCTGGGATATCCAGGGAAGCATAGCCTCTGTGGGTCAGTTCTTCCAGTCACACCTCTTTAACCCCTTTGTTTTAAGGGCTTGTTTAAATAGCTTTCTGTTTTTTACCTTGCTAAATTATTGTTTTAATTCAGTTGTACTCTAACGAGGCAGCATATAACTTCACTAAAATAAAATAAAAGTAAAAAGCAACACAGGCCAGAATTCAACAGGCAAAGCTTCTCACACCAGCTCTTCCTTGGGAAAAGCTATTGCCTATCCTACAAGCGTATTTATTTACTTCATTTATACCCTGGCTTTCTCCCCAGTGTGGATCCAACGCACCTTACAGCATTCTCCCCTCATCCATTTTATCCTCACAACAACCCTGCAAGCAGTGTTCCCTCTAAGCTGACTTAGTGCGAGCTAGCGCATAGTGTTTTAGCCTCCGGCTCACACATTTTTGTCTTAGCTCAGGACGGACGGCTCCAGAGCAAACTAATTTATGTAGTAGCCAAATCTCTTGCTCACAACTTTAATGTCAGTAGCTCACAAAGTAGAATTTTTGCTCACAGGACTCCACAGCTTAGAGGGAACATTGCCTGCAAGGTGGGTTAGGCTGGCCCAAGGTCGCCCAGAAGGCTTCCATAGCAGAGCAGATATTTGCACCTCCCTCCCCCCGGATCCTAGCCTGGCACTCGAACCACTCTGATGGTGTTAGATGCTGGAAGGAAATGTGGCTACCATTCCTGTAGCCACTGGTCTCCTTGTGTTTACAAGGTGTTTGCACCATCTACATAGTGCAGGTCCTTCTCCTAATGAAAATGAAGCCTGTGTCTTTGCCAGCTACCCTTTTCCTCCCTTGCTTCACCACCAGTGCTCCCTCCATTTCTCATCTGTTCTTGACATTTATAATGCAAGCTGTTTGGGGCAGTGACCTGCCATTTTTGCTCAGGTTCTGCTGTAAGAGCACCACCTACTCTTAAGCTTCTCTAGAGATCTTAAGGAAAGATATCTTATCCCAAACAATGTGCTCCTCTCCCACATACCATCAGGCACTCCAAAGAGTGGCAGCTAATACCCACACTGTGCAGCACCCAACTTGTGACCTGGAGCAACTGGCTCTCATAAACCAACTTGGCAGGTGCCATCTGCAGAGAAAAAATGGGATCCCTCGTCCTAGGACAAGAGGTACTCCACATTTGCCACACCGACCTTTGTGGAGCAGCATCTTCTGCTGGCCCTTTCCTGCTCTTCTGAATCTGCAGCCACAAGATCGGCTGCAAAACCAGCCAAGTGAAACTCTACTCTGCCTTTCCTCCTCCTCCTCCTCCTCCTCCTCCTCCTCCCCCTTCCCGCCTTTGCCACTCACCAAAAGGATTCCTTTCCCCTTGCACAACCTCAAAAAGACCACACCTACATTACTCAATTCAGCAGAGAAGGAAGCAGCTCATTGCGATTCAAGGAGCCCAGGATCCTTAGGTGCTTCTCTTGCCCAGATAGGAGAGAAAGTTTCATGGCATAAGCCCTCCAGCGTGGGGATTCCGACCTCACGGGGCAATTCCCTACTGCTGTTTTGGGTGAGGTCGACAGAACTGGGGGAAGGCCAAGGAAGGTTCTGAGCGGGTAAGTGGAATTTCACGTGTTACTACTGTGTTGAAGAGGGGTTTTGTAAGATAGCTAGCCAGCTGGACAGACAGACAGTGATTTCTTTTTTATTTGGAACAAAATAGTAGTGACCAGCCTGACATGTACAGTTAATGACAGATGTTTTCTATAAAAGCACAGTTAAAATGACTGATATATCGTAACCAACAAGTGGATCTGGATTGTTTCAACCAAACAGAGTTCAAATGATGTGTTTTTGACAGACAGACATACATTCTCAGGATTCAGTTTCTTGCTGTGGCTCTAGGTCGGCCTGGAAGAAATTTTTGCCACCTGCTTGCCAAGCAGCAAGCCCACTCCAGCTGTTGTTCAAATGAAAGGAAAGACGTTGTTTGAAGCCTGTAAGAAGGAAGACTCTGTTTCACCCTTTAAGTTGCTCGACTCACCTTACCTGTCGATAAGTTTTGTGAATGGGAAATCTGAAAAGAACAAACGAGGGGAAAAAAGTTAAGGCAGAAGTAATTCCGGGGAATTCAGGAGTTTGCAGGGCTGACAGGGACCTTGCTATCTTTTGGTATGAGCCAGACAAAGTTAGCTTGTTTAAGTACTTTTGATTTCAATCGGAGAATGTCAAGCATGACTTTCAACTTTTACATCGTTCTTTCTTTGTTTCCGAGCTGGGAGAGACTGCTAGTCAATCACTGGTATAGTCTTGGGAATATCTTTCCTTACAAAGGAAAGCGTTAGTGACTGGTACTATTTAGGGAGTGGAAAAAAAACTTATGGAGCAATGAATCTGTTTTGTTTTGTTTTCTGTGACGTGATGTGCTTTTGAAATATAGGGAACAAAAGACATCTGCTGGCCTTGGGGGTTTCTGAAATCAGTGTGTGTGTGAGAAGGAGAGATCATAGGGAAATATAATATTCATATATACGCATGCACACATATGTACAGAGAAAAGGGGGAAGACTCGTGGTGATTCTGTGAATTTATGGAAGGTCATAAATATGCATTCCTTAGGCCCCGGTCACGCGGGCAGGAAAATGCAGGGGGGGGAGCGTGGCTGTTTGCCCCGGAACAAAATAACGCGTGGCTGCGTGATCAGACGTCCCGTAGAGGTCCTGTCGAGGTCCCGTGGTTAGGGGGGAGGTGCCGATCACAGGACAATTCTGCGGCGCGGCAAAGAAGCAGCCTCTCTAGCAAAAGGCTCCGCAGGTTTAACCCCTTCCAGGGCTGCAGAGGAATGCAAACTGTGTCCTCCGTCCGGTCCCCTCCAGGAGGAGCTTCAGCCGGGCCGCCCTCCCGCCACACCCCCCCTCGCCCCCCTCCCCCTCTGCCGTCCAATGCAGAGAGTTCCTCTCGAGCAGACCGACCCAGGAGTGTGGGGGGGTACAGAATAGAGGAGGGGGCTGTGTTGTTTGTTTTTAAACGAAGTGTGCGCATGCGCCGTTGGGTGCTTGTGCACATCCCATGGAGACTTGGAAAAAAAACAGCCTTTTAGCGACGGGACATGGGCGGGCGCCGGATGCCACGACCTACCACCGGAAACGCGATCAGGCGCCCGCCCTTGCCCCGCGGTTTCCGGAAACTAGTACCTCGGAGGTACTAGTTTTTTACCCCGCATCTTCAGCGGGAAGCCTCGGGTTCGCCACGGGAACTCTACGCTTCCCAGATGTGGCGCTGTGATCGCACCCGGAAAATCCGCCTATCTTCCGTCTCTGTAGCGTGGCTAATGCTCCGTGTGACCGCAGCCTTAATTTTTTTTTCTCTGTGTGTGGGTACCATACACTGGATGACTGGCAACAGAATATGTGAATAACTCTCTTGGAAAGCTGAACACCTGGAGCTGCCTTATAATGAGCCAGGCCCTTGGTCTAGCAAGGTCAGTCTTCTCTATTCTGACGGGCGGCAGCTCCTCAGATTCTCAGGTGGAAGCCTTTTGCACCCTCTGCTACTTGATCTTTGTAACTGGAGATGCTGGGGATCGAACCTGGGACCTTCTGCATGCCAAGCAGATGCTCTGCCCCTGAGCTGCAGCCCCACTCCTAAAGGCACTGATCAGTGAACCTGTTCATTCATACCCACCAGTCATTGCTTCATGCTGGAATCACCACGTGATATTTCTGTGAAACCTGCTCTTCAAGATTCTTGCATTTACACTTCACTTATTTATTGACTTCAGATCTACCCTGCCTTTCTCCCCCATGAGAACTCAAAGCAGCTTACATCACTCTCCTCTCCATTATACCCTCACAACAATCCTGTAAGGTAGGTTAGGCTGAGAATGTTTGATTGCCCAGGGTCGTCCAGTAAGCTTCATTGGCAGAGTGGGGGTTTGAACCTGGGTCTCCCAGATCCAGGTCTGAAAGCGTAACCCACGGGTCCCCAACGTGGTACCCATGAGCACTGTGGCACCCACTGACAAATGTTTTTAGAAAGCGGGAAGGGCCTGGTGAGGCTTTTGCCCAGCAAGGCTTCTGATTGGCCATTGGAGATTTGATTGGCTGTGTAGATTTTTAAAAACATTGCTTTGGCAGCAGCTGTTACCAAAGCACAACAATCTTCACTGTGTGACTGAAAGTAAGCTGCAGCAGTGGCTGGCCTGTGCCTTATGTGGCAGCCACTTTGTGGCTGTGCCTAATACCTTGTGTCAGAATTCCAAAGGTACCCACAGGCTCAAAAAGATCAGGGGCCCGTGACCTAACCACTACACTACACTGGATTGCTTGACATAGTGCTTAATTTCCAAAATGTAAGACCTTATCTTAGGGTTGCCAACCCCCCCCCCCCCGGTTTGCCAGGGGTCCCCCGTTTTGGGAGGGGGTTCTACCCGCCGCCGGCGAAATGGCCGGTGGGGGAAGCCCCACGCCCAACACCCACAGCCACCCATCTCTCTCCCTTTAAGTGTGTGGAACCGTGTTTCCTCCCAAGCGCAAGCTTGCAGGGAAATGCCAGCTTCGTGCTCTTAAAAGGGAAACGCGGCTGCTCTTAAAGGGGAAATGCCGGCTCCTGCATTTAAAAGGGAAACGCCGGCTCCTTTAAGTGCAGGGAATTGCCGTTTCTGGAGATCTGGCGCACGGGTGGGGGGGCGGCGGACATCCCCAGCATGACATCATCACATCGGGGATGCCCCGCCCCCTCCAGGAACACCCCCAAAGTCCCCTGCTGGGGGTGGAAGTTGGACTTGGCAACCCTACCTTATCTGGAAGTCTCAACTGGAAGACTTGGAGCCTCATAGCCCCAATCCCAGCTGTACAAGGTCTGTTTTTTATTGGCAAAGAGAAAAAAGAGAAGCCTGTGCATGGTCAAGGATATTCTCTTATTTTTCCTATGTAGAGGGGCTGAGAACAGACCCAAGTGGACTGGCCATTTAACTTACACAGAAATTTCCCCATGGGCCACTGCCCTCGAGGGCCACTAGGGGCCTGGAACAAGCAGAGCTGAGCCCCAGCAACTCACCCAGTGCCTCGGGGACCACTTGGCTCTTCAGAATCAAGGACGATTGGTGTCAGGCCACCAGTTGCCACTTCCTGCAATGTCGCTGGCTTGTGGGCGGAGGCAGAGAGTGAGCCAATGGACGGAGTTGGCACTGCTGAGCTGAATGGCCCTGCTGCCCTGTGGCCTTGCAGTGTGTTCTGTCACAAGGGTCACTTGCTCAGAGTCATTTTGTGTCCACCACTGCTCACACAAGCCTTCCAAATAGGAGAGTGACCTGAAGCAGCAGCACACCATCAGAGACCAGTGCCCACTGACCCCCTTTGCAAAGTCCTAGGAATGGCCCTGCTGGATCCGACCAAACCTCCATCCAGGTTCCAGCTGTGGTCAGGCAGATGACCTTCAAGAAATGCACCAGCAGGCCCCGAAGGCAGCAGCCATCCTCCGCCACCTGGTACCCAAAGCCTTTGCACAGGGAGGCTCCATTTTACCCCTCCCTTTCAAATTTTGAAATGCTCTAACTAGCCACCATCAGCCTGTGACAGAGACTCCTAAGTTAGTGATGTGTTGGGTGAAGAAGTACTTCCTTTTGCTGCTCCTGAACCTACAATCAACTTCATTTGGGTGACAGAGGAGTCACAGAGGATGCTGAGCAAATCCTGCTGTGACCTAGTTCCTTTTGGCCCTGTTCTAGATCACGTACTGTGGCTCACTTACTTGAGTCAACGAGAGAGATTTAATATTTGAATTCCCCTTTTCTCTTCCTACAGCTGCTCTGCCTAATTTAGTTTATCACAGATCTCATGGCAAAAGACTTTAATGGCAGCAGAAAGGGCTTTATGATGAGTCTCACTAGGTACACTTCAGCACCCTTAGATGCACCCACCCACCCACAGATCTCGGGATACGACACCGTTATCCAAAGGAGTGCAGCTATATTAACTGTAAATCTGCAAACAGAGCCTATCTTTCCTTTTTGAGTTTTGAGATGCTTTAAAATTAGTAGTAATAGAACGATCTGGCTCAGCCTGAGTCTATCCAAGTTTGGAAACTAAGCAGGGTGGGCCACAATTAGTACTTGAATGGGACACCACCAAGGAAGACAGGAGTTGCTGTGCGGAAGAAAGCAATGGAAAACCACCTTTGCTCATCTCTGGCCTTGAACATCTGGGGTCACAATGAGTCAACTCCAACTTGGCAGCAGGTCAGGGGCCAGTTGTTAAAAAAAAAAAAACACTCCAACTTGGCAGCACATTATTTATTAGCAGCAGGAGGAGTAGGTGCTTTGAATACTCACAAAGCACTGCATAAATGCAAAACTTTGTTATTGCTAATAGGGAGCCTGAGAGAAGATGCTTCGGAGCATGGGTGGCTGAACTAGGGGGATTCGGATTTTGAGTGATCATATTCTTATTTTTGTTTTGTTTTTTCAAAACATTTTTATTAGGATATAATAACAGGTTAAACACGTTTTCAAATTGTCATACATCCTTTTCTCCTATCTCCCACCCCTTTCTTGGCTTCCCACAGTGCTCCAACCTCCAGCCCATATCTTAAATTTACTCCAAATCTCCCTATACCT